TTTCTGAAGAAGGGTCTAGGCCCGAAACGTCAGCTTTCCTGCTCCTCTGATGCTGCTTGGCCTGCTGTGTTCATCCAGCTCTACACCTTGTTATCTCAGATTCTCCAGCATCTGCAGTTCCTATTATCTCTGAAATAATATTGATTGTGTTCAGTGTCTAAGTTAGACAGGGGGACAATAAACTAGGCTTCTCATTCTGATCACTGTTCTATGACTCTTTCTTCGAAGTCTAATTATGGAAATGCAGGATGAAGACAAGATCTGAGCTGTGTTGTATTCCATCATCAATTAAACTCCAGAATATTTAAGCTTTAGAAGAACAAATGAAGATTGACCATTTCAAGAAAGCCTCAGCATCCCTTCACTCTAGAATGAGAATGAGTCAGTACTTTTGGCAGGACTGGCGATGAGGGGAGAGTGTAACAGTGAAGGAAATCTAATAAAATTCTATATATACATGAATTTAAAAATAATTTAAAACAATACAACAGTAATTTGTAGTTTTGGTAGTACTGAACTTGATTTTTGCTTAAAAAAAGACACATTTTCATTCAACTTTTTGCCTTGCACTCATCAGGTCAATTTGAAAGAACTCCACTGTAAAGGGAAAAGAACATTAATACTGAATAAGACGGAATTGTTGACTGTTTGGCAATTGGACTCTAACAAAGGCATTGCCATGAAGAATGCCTCCATTAGATAATGACTGACAACAAACTGTCAGGATTATTGTTTTAAACTTTAAACCATGCACGTTGATTTTGATTTGTCAATGCGTTGCCCTGAGAAATGAACTGGAGAATGGCTGTCATCTGTTTTGCTGAGTTGAAACAGACCTTGTGTGGACATATTATTTCTGCATGTAATGAACAGGGTCTTGCTTAATCTAAATAAAAACCAAAAGAACTGCGGATGTTGCAAATCAGAAAAAAAATGCTGGAAATTCTCAGCAGATCTGGCAGCATCTAAGAGAAATCTGATTTCTCTCCACAGATGCTGCCAGACCTATTGACCTTTTCAGGCAATTTCTGTTTTTGTTCCTGCTTAATGCATGTAGCTTCTAGTAAGTGCACCAATCTGTCAGCCTGACCGAAAATCCGAAATTGGTTACTAGCATAATTTTTAGCACACACAGGGTTATTTAGAATTAGGAAGAAAACACAGATAACATCAGAGATGGTAATAGTCTGAGATAACACAGTGTGGAGTTGGAGGAACACAGCAGGCCAGGCAGCATCAGAGGAGCAGGAAAGCTGACGTTTCGGGTCGGGACCTTCTTCAGAAAACATTTCGACGTTAACTCTGCAATCTTCCCACAGATGGTGCCGGACCTGCTGAGTTTCAGCAGCAATTTCTGATTTTGTTTCAAATCTCCTGCATTCGCAGTTCTTTGTTTAATTAAAGTTATTTAGAATGTGTTGTCCAATTTTCATCTGCCTAATAAATCCCATGCAAAATCCAACAGGAAATGTGAAAAAACGTGAAAGAAGATTGGGTATAAAGAGTAGAACGTTCAAGTTTGATCTGGGATTGGGAACATTTCATTTGTTAAACCTGAGCTTTATCTATTCCTGAAAGCCTCGTTTTAGGAAACAAAACAGTTTATAAACATCATATGCATTTTAATTTAACTTGCTTTTAAAACCGGAAGAAAAAAAAACTGCAAAATTTCAGCAGGTCGGGTAGCATCTGTGACGAGAAACAGAAAGTATCAGGTCTAACAGAACTGAAGGGAAACAAATGTAGCCGAGAAATAGACAGGAATTATTTCGACTTTGATTACGATATGTCCAGTAATGGATTGAATTGACAGAATTCCTGTATTCAGATAGGAAAAGGCAAGCGGTTGGTAATACTATTATACTGTCCAGCTATTGTAGCCTGGCAACAGGTTAGATTGATTTCAAAATCGGCAACGACAATCTGCACTGAAACATTGCGGACAGGAAACCCGCTTCCTCACTTTCCAATAAGCCTGGTTAATGTGACACCTAAATAACTTGTTCGCGTTCAACAGACTAGGACAATGCTTCCCGATTTGTCAAGCTATGTATTGCATCTTCCTGTCTTGAGGAGAATTGAGCAAAACACGAAATATCCGAGTTTAATCAGAAGTTAGACGAAATAACACAAATAGTGAACATTAAACAATAATTATACTCGCGTATTTGTGAACAACCTGCTTATTATCAAAGTTTCTAAGTCAATGAATTGCACTCGAAACTTCTGCAAATTAATCCCTGGACTTTCCTGAACGATCCGAACACTGGGGGAGGGACTGGTAACCCCAATCCTAAAAACCTTAATCTGTTTTAACGCTTCCGATAGAAAGTTACAATGGAAGTTATTCACCATAGTCAAGTGATGATGAGTACATTGCACATGTAATTGGATTAGCTCCATATGTTACCTGTGTGCACCTAAAAAGGTATTGGGATATTGTGCACCAGCTAGTTTGTTTTTTTAAAAAATATTTTCAAAATGTTTATTCTGTGTTGAAGCAGAATGGCACTTCATACATTTTTTGCCCAGGCGGCGCTAAAGAAAGAAATACCACAGTTGCTAGAAAGTTGATGGTTCACTGGCCAGCTCCAAATTCCTCAGGAGAAGATTAAAATCACTCGGAGGCGGAATATTGTCCCTAGCCCTTCATATCGGGAATAGGGAGTGATTCAACGAGACAGAGAGCGGGGGGGGGAAATCCTTCGAAGAAGAAGTTGGAAGCAGCGGCGATATTCAGGATGACAGAGCTGTGTTAACCCCCATTCTCCTCTGTCCATTCTGTCTCACGGTCTCCACTGCTCTCTGCGCGGAGCCCCCAACTCCGCTGCATAAGGCGGGGAGACAAGTAGCCAAGAGAGCGGGTTCGATAACCACATTTAAACAGGGAGAGGGATGTTTTTTAAAGGAATCTCAATTGGCGCCACCGTCTCCCCAGAAACCAGTAAATCGAACGAAAATGACTTCTGTATAAAACAGAAGGAAATCTGAGAATCCGCTGCTAACTTTGATACTCTCCTGTTGCTTGGCAACCAGGAGCGCCTGTATCTTTTGGGCTCCAAATCTCACCACATTTTTTCCCCCCTGATCTTTAAACATGTCGAGATGTTTCAGGGGACAGATCAGGTTTTATCGCCTTGTACCTTTTTTTGTGTTTATTAACCCACTGCTTGGAGCTCTCCCGAATCCTATTCAGCATCGCCGGCTATGAGAAGCAAAATTCACACGCGGTTTCATTCTGTCCGCAATGCAATAGTGCAGCATGGATGTTTAGAATCACTCCTGACACAGCAGAATTAATCTCTTTTTAAAGAGTTAATTTCGCAGTTAATTCCCGAGTTCGAGCCCCAGTGTAAAGATGCCTCTTTGTCAGCAACACGAATCTTTAATACACTGACTGGAAATCGTGCAAAGAACCGCGTGAGCTAGAAACACCCACTTCCATAATTTAGTCAGAAGCCTGAACTAAAAGCAAAATACTGAGGATCCTGCAGATCTGAAATAAAAACAGAAAGTGCTGGAGAAACTCAGCTGGCAGCATCTGTGGAGAGAGAAAAACCGTGTTAACATTTTGAGATAGTAGGAACTGCCGATGCTGGAGAATCTGAGATAACAAGGTGTAGAGCTGGATGAACACAGCAGGCCAAGCAGCATCAGAGGAGCCGGAAAGCTGACGTTTCGGGTCTGGACCCTTCTTCAGAAATCACTTAACATTTGAGTCCGGCTTGACTCTCTTCAGAACGCCCCTTCCCCTCTAAAGGAAATGCATAAGGTGGTGTAGCACCTTCCTGTAACAATCACCTCTTGATTGCATTCAGCTTGTCTCATTATACGATTTGTTTTATTTTAATCGCCGATTCTGATATGGATATTGCTCAAGTTGAATTATGGGCAATTCGAACAAAAACACAAGTTGCTGGAAAAGCTGAGCAAGTCTGGTAGCATCTGTGAAGAAAAACAATCAGAGTTAACGTTTTTCGAGTTCGGTCACCCTTCCTCAGAACTGCTTCCTCAGAACCCCAGTTCTGAGGAAGGGTCATTAGACCTGAAAGTTAACTGATATTTTTTTCTTCACAGATGCTGCCAGACCTGCTGAGCTTTTCCAGCAACTTCTGTTTTTGTTCCTGATTTGCAGCATCCGAAGTTCTTTTGGTTTTTATGGACAATTCGAATCTGTTCGCCAAGACATGTAAGTAAATAATCTGAATGCATAGCGAAGTACCCTGCCTTTAGTCAATGTGGTTGCCTTAATTGATCACTTCAAGGTAAACCACATTAGGCACACATCAAAACTTGTTGGGCAAATATAAAAGGACTCTTGAGTTGGTCATTTGTAACAACCATGTGAGCTTTAAAACTAAAACCAGAGAACAGTAATGCTGCCAGTTATTGTCATGGGTGTCCCTTCCTAAGGGACTGTGATTTGGTTAGAAATGAAATAAGCAAGTCATTAAAATACTCAATCTTCTGCATATTATTTTATAATCAAGTTAGATTTAGGACTACAAATGCATATGGATACAAGCTGATATCTTGCAACGGTATGGGGGACTAGAGATCCTGCTGAATTTCTGGGAAAGAATTCATCTCAATATAACGTGCAGAACATTTTGCAGACATCTGCCACTGTTTAAAAACCGCAAGCGGGCTAAGTGTTCCCCGTGGTCAGGGAAAGTGCATTAGATATTCGCAATTTAATGTCACAGCACGGCCTGGGACCATGGGGTTAATCGGGCCCCATGGGCGTCAGAGGTGCAGGGACAGGTCTATTGCCTGCGGTGGAAAATAGCGACCCCAGTGTTCTTTCCTCTTCTCTCGGTGTCCCACCACCACCACAATATTCTCTTTCCGTGGAGCGCTCAGTATCGATCACTTAGCAAGAACCAAAGGCTAAAGGTGTCAATTTAACTCAAACCCAAACTGGCCCGCTGCTATTAGAATGGGAGCAGCGAGAGAGAAACGGCAGCCGCTGGCGGATTATCGGGCTGCCTTTCAGAAACAGAAAGGTCATTCACGGATCCCAGTTTTGAAGAAGGACTCGAAAGTTCACTGCATTTTCTTTCTGCACGCTTGCTGCCAGACCGGCTGAGTTTCTCCGGCACTTTCAATGTTTGTTGTAAGATCGGGCTACGGTGTCTTTAAAGCTACAACAGAACGGACTTGTACCGAGGCCCCATTTCGACGGAAGGCAATGAGCCGATTTGATTGATCGAATTGAGCACGGGTGCAGCCTCCAATCCATTGCTGGTGCCAGTCTAGGGTGTTTGGTGTTACAACCATTTAATGGCTAAGGTATTTGCGTTTATTGGGCAGTAACAAATTCACAGAATGGGTGCTAGCCATCCTATAGACCAATTCCTTGAACCGCCCAATTCCGCAAATAGCGCTTTCTCTCTTCCCCCACACACAATTCTGACCTTAGGGTTAGCAACACTACACACCCTATATTAGAGTTTGTAAACCACAGCCACCTCCTGGTCCAACTGTTTCACATCCTCCCTGCAATGAACGGCTCGTTCTTCTTTGAGGCATTGATCAAGTCTCAGAGATGGAGTAGGGTGTGGGTGATGACTGCCTTTGCCGAAGAGTTTCGCCAGTTCTGAGTAACGCCTGAGCGTTCATTCAGCGGCAGCCTGATGCAGAAAGGGATCCACTTGGGAGTGAGTTAGAGCTGGGGTCCCAGTGAGCACCTGACAGGGGTAGAAACGTTCCCCTCCGAGTCTGTGTTAATACCCTCTCTCCTACTCAGCCTATTTTTTACCCCCCCACCCCCTGAGGGTGGTGAAAGCAGGGAGGGAGGCTCTTTAAGTAGGAGACAGGAGCCGAGGCTACGCTGCCCGGAGCATTCGAGTGGGTATTGACATTCGCTGGAGGCGGAGCGGGCCGTGTCTGAGCATCTCTCTCTCTCTCAGATCCTCTGTGTGAGCCGCCAGCAAGCAGCAGTGTGGACGCGGGTAAGTCTTAAGGTTGTATCAGAGATAGTAGGAACTGCAGATGCTGGAAAATCTGAGATAACAAGGTGTAGAGCTGGATGAACACAGCAGATGCTGCTTGGCCTGCTGTGTTCATCCAGCTCTACACCTTGTTATCTGAGTCTTAAGGTGCTCACTCTCTGAATGAATAACAAAGGAGCAGCGACAGGGAGGAGGAGGGGTGTTGGGGGGTGGGGTGGGGGGGCGTGAGAGATAGCTGGCAATTCGGCCAGGATCCCAGAACAGCACTAGCTCCAACAGCGAGGATTCCCGTCACTGAAACGTAACCCACTCCCCCACCCCTTTTAATCTCTCTTAAACCATGTCACTACTCGGGAGTAGCACTGAATAGTGTTCTCACATCCTGCTCCTTGCTTCAGTCTGTGTGTGTGTGTGTGTGTGTGTGCTTGGAGTTAGGTGCATCTCCCCATTTCCTATCGTCAGTTGCACGTAGAAAGCGCTCTCTATCTTCCAGTGTTCTAACCAGCCTTTTTTACCCCTCTCTCTCTCTCTCTATTATCTGCTCTTGTTAGCACTCGGCAAACCAGCCTAGGCAGTGGAAACTGATCAATCTCTTCCCCCACCTCACAACAAAAATGTGGTGAGTGTCAAGGGGCTTCTATTCCCCTTAAACTTCTACATTCCGCAAGAGAGGAAGGCGATTCTCCGCAGCCGCCAACCCCCCAGCGATGGGATTTAGTTCCAGCTCAGTCTGATCCTCACAAACCAAAGACTTTTGTATTCTCTCTCCTTTCGGGAGGGCGAAAACAGTCCAATTTTGCCGCAGTGGAGAGCGACACGGTTTGATATTCTACCAGGGCAACCACCAGACAAGCAAGGTTCCTGAAGCTATTTCTTTTGCACGGCCCGATTGAGAAAGAGAGACACACACAGAGAGAGGACGAGGATGTTTCTACTGGATCTTCCGGATCGCTCCCATGTGGGAACTGCTTGCTAGCCCAGCTCCTTGGGAGTGGGCCACATAACGCCACTGTCAGTGAGTGTTCGGAGAGAGGAGAATAAGGGGGAGGGTGGAGGGGGTTGAAAGAAAAGGGGCAGTTCCCCAGTAACCACCACAGCTACCCTGCCCCCCCTTTGGCAGAGACCATGCAGCAACACCTACTCCTCTTCCTGGTTTACATGGACCCCCTGAGCCTGCTGGTGTGGGCAGGCAGGAACCGTAACAACAGGACGCTGGCCTCGTCCCCGCGGCGCCAAGGGGGCAACCCGGCGCCAGTCAATACGACCGTGGTGGTGCCCGTCCTGCAAATGAACAAGATGAAGCCGCTGGTGCTGCAGCACTCCGAGAAATGCCGGGGTCATTACGACGTGGCCGGCCAGTGGGACCCCGACTTCGAATGCAACAGGACTTCCTACAATTACTGCTGTGGTACTTGTTACATGCGCTACTGTTGCCAGGACAAGAACTACCGCCTGGAGCAGAATGGCTGCAAAAACTACGTGACCCCCAAAGTGGAGATTCAAGTTACCACCGACCCGGATCTGGGCGAGTTGGAGAACGTGTACGACCCGAGCAAAGACAAGACCAACAGCACGGTCTACATCACCTGCGGAGTCATCGCCTTTGTGATTATCGCTGGCGTGTTCGCGAAAGTTGCGTACGACAAAGCCACACGGCCCCCTCGCGAAATGAACGTGTCCAGGTAAGAGCCGACCCTGTGACTGTCACTTGTTTCCAACCTGTGTGTAGGCGGCAGATTGCTACCTCCTTTTGGTTTTGGTTTGGAAATTTCAGGGACCTCAATCTCCCTCAACCAAAAAAAAGCTCTAATTTTTCACCTAGAATACAGAGCCACAGGCGATAATAGCAATAACTATTGTAACACAGTTACAGGAGTTTCGTGGGTGACAAGGAGTAGCTCAGGAATTTTTTTTAACACAGTCGCATTTCTCACGCTGAAACGCCACATGACGCTTTCTAACCTATGTCCCTTTCAGACCTGGTTATCAGCAGTTGCTTGTTTTTTTTATATACTCCGCCTCCCCCCGCATTGAGAGGGCCCTGGAAGTGTCAGGCGAAGTGGAATACCCTAACGTGAACCCGACCGTCGGAGCGTGTAGGGAACAGTGAACACTAGGGGAAACTGCCTGATGCAGACACACAAAGCAAGAGCGGACACTTACTAAACAGCCGAAATTGGTTAATTAGCCATCTGAATCAAAAATAATGCCGAGCTAATAATGTAGAAAATGGGTATGTTAAAAGCATACTTCAACATTCAGAAAGAATTGTGGTAACATTCTGAAATTCAAATGCCCTTTATGAGTGGTGATATAATTACCGCACATCTTGCTAGCAGCCGAGATGCTGTGTTGCTTTCATTTGTCCCAAACTGTGCAAGTAAAGTTCCAGCAGAATTTTCCAATTATTAAAACTATTAGAATAAATATAGATTCATAATATTACTGTGGTGCCCTAGAATTACATATCTGTCAATTCAAATTTAGTTCAATAGTTCAACTTTTAAGCTCATAGCAGCATAGAAACAGGGCAGATTCTATATGCTCCTTAACATTTACCCCAGGTTTATCGCCTAATATCCAAGGAGTTGATGCAAAGCAAAAGTCCACAAGGTAATCTAGCCACCACATTTACTGTCTACACCATGTGATGCTAACTTAAACACCAAACTAAAGAGAATTTATAGATGAAAGTGTTGGAGCTAGTGGAGTATGTTTCACAACAAACATATTAATAAGTAGAAGTTTCACATCTTAGGTTCTTTTGGTATAAAATTCCTAATTTCCGCTCTCTGATGAAACACCAGTGTACTGTAAGATTAGGCTTATTCGTTAAATGCAATCTAATTCATGCTTGTTGCTGTTTTAGAAGTGTTGTTTGTTTTACTGACTAATAATAATGTCTTGGAAATAGTTATCCAAGGTTCTTGCTGCAATATACTATGGCATATGTTTTACATTTAATTTCTTATCCGCTAAAGTAAAAATAATAGAAAAACATATGATATGATCCTAGAAACAGACTGCCAATACACTGTCACTTTCATATTGATACAATTAGGTTTCAGGTGCACGTTGATAAGATGCAAGTACAACTTGGGTGCAGGTCAGCCACTGAACAGACTGGGCAGTGGTGGGAGACTGTTTTGAATAGGTTTGTTTCATACTGCATAGATAACATGTAATACTCTAACATCATAAAAAGACACAAGTTTTGCAAAAGTTATGTTTCATTGCTTTTAATGTCTGTGGAAACTTAAAGTTTATCCACCATTCTCTGAACATTTAAATTATGGTGCATATTTACACAAGAAAATCTCAAAGAGTTCCTTTCTTAATAAGCACACTTGGGAGGGGTGTCCAGTCAACTTATAATGTAAGAGTTGTCATCTGTAACAGTGTATTTTACACATACTGTCCTCAAAATAATAGATGCTCTACAGGTGCAATTTCAATCACATCATTTCCATCTCTGAGCCAATTGCCATTCTACCTTTCATTCTCCAACATCTACATCATTTGTAAACTTCACCTCCCAACAGCAGAAGATGCAGCAAGTGCCAGCTTTAATAATGAGTGTGACCTTGTATATTTTCTCATGAATTTATAGTTAGCAGCGATATGAAACAATGGTTGATTCAAAAATGCAAAACTACCATGTTGCTGATGCTGGACATCCAAAACATAAAATGCTAGAAATACTTGGTAGTTCAGGTAACATCTGTGGAAAGAAAAGCAGAGCTCACATTTCAGATTTATTTCCAGCACATTTGCTGCCTGATGCATTGAGTATTACTGGTGTCTTCTATTTTTATTGCAACTGAAGCAGAGTTTTGATGATCAAAACTAATTAATGCTTGCACTGCAAGAGCAGAGCTCAGAGTCCCTCTTTTTAACTGTCCTGCATCTCATTATCATGTAGCCATGGCCTACATTTATTTTGATGCATGAATACAGAAGTGATGCCCTCATGGATATTAAGACACAAGTGATTTATATCCCGACAGTGAAAAATAGATAGTATTGGTATTTCAATGAACAGACAATTCACAAAACAGCCGGCATCCCTTTTAACTCCAGCAATGCATCCAGGAATATAATTTGAGTTTTTATTTACTAAAGCTGTTTACAATTATTTACTTGATCCAGAAAAGACTTTTTAAGCAGTAACTTATTATGGATTCAAACCATAAATATTAATGCAAACATTTGTGGAGGTTCCCATTACAACGTGAAAGCAAAGGTCTTTTTCATGGTTAGCTGCTTTCAGTTGAATTCAGTACATTTTACTTTTATTTATTTTGAATGTGTGTTTATCAATAAATCATCCCTGTACAATGTCTGATAGATTTCCTTTATGAAGTCAACTGAGTATTTTTTTTAAAAAAAACAACAGTTTGAAGCAGTAAAAATAAAAAGGAAAAGTAATAACATTTTAAAATATGGAGATAATCTGTCTTATTAAATATGGAATTGATTCTCAAAATGAAGCTGCTCCTCTTCCTTTTGCATCAGTTGAGTGACTGAGCTTCAGATATGTGTCATATTTTACTGGCAGTATATGATGATTTAAACATCAGGTATACCGTCAGTGTGCTTCTGTGTACACTGACTGGATAGGCTACCTGGTAACAATAGTGCACAGGAGTGTTTAACTCAACCCTGGAAGGGTAACCAAAGTGCAGCTTCACTGTTAATTCATTAAGATATGGAAGAGTTTTTATATCTGTTCCAATCTCAATACAATTCTTTGCACTAACCAAAATGTCAAATTAATATATACAGTTTGTTTAACTTAATTGCTTTCAGATGATTATTAGGCGAAAAGCATTTCCTCAGTTTGAGCAATGCTACAATTATTAAATTTCAGACAGCCAGCTGTGAATATCCAAGATACAGAATAATAGAGTAGGTCGCAAAGATGCTGTGACCACTGATAGACAGAGGCTGAGAGTAGCTAGACGTAACAGCCTACCATAAGAAGAAAAAAGCACTCTGTGCTGTGTGGGTTCAATCCAAAAACCAGTTCAGTGAAGAAATGAAGCTTTGCAGGCATTATTTAAATTAAAATAAGTTGCAGAACACATGTCAGTTGGAAAGAAAAGTGTTCAAATCTGATTAATCAATCCTGGGAATGACAGGCTGGTCAGCTTCAAACTTTCATTCATTTCCATTCAGCAGATGACTACCTGATCTGTGAGCCTGAGAACACAATGGTGCCTCTGTTATTTGAAGTAAAACTATTAAGTCTTTCAAAAGTCTAAAGCCTTGAGAAATTATATTCACTATTAGGTATCACCAATACAATACTAAACCTGTAACCTTTAGCTACTAAATGCCAACACCAGCAAGCTGATAAATCCTGTACAATGCAACACCAGTTAGAAATGGAGCACAAAGTACACAATCAATTGATCTTATCAAGTGTTATTGAGTTCCGTGTTCTGGCTTACAGAATAATTGATATAGGAGGTAGCTCAGATTTTAGTTTTTTTTATTAAATACAGTGTCCGGTACAGCATACTAAGACAAGGACGGTTACCGTTTCATCTCCAATCTTTGAGGAGTTAAGAGGAAAACAAAAGGAATGTAATGATTCGCATTAATCCTTCTATGCTAAGAAGAGTGAAATAAAAGTCACCCTGTTCCAATACAGTATTTGCCGGGCACTGTTGGAAAGTTTGCATGTGTAAACATTGGATGAGAAGAAAACAGTTGTGGTGTTAATGTCTGACACTTGGATGGTCTTCTGGCAGGGACTGTCCAGACCCTTGGGGAAGAATCCAGTGCCTTAATTCCTGCTGTAGCAACATGACCATTGCCTGATTTGGAACTTGACTTTCTGCATGTCACACCCAGGACCATTGTAGTGTATTGCATGAGAAATTTTTAGATTAAGACTATTATGTTCCTATATTAATTACTAACTCTGCTAGTCTATTCCAGACAAAAAAGAAGTTCAACAATATCTGCTTTATTTTGAATTTATATTGGCGCCTTCTCCTCTTCCAGAATCTATCCTATAAAATTCCCTTCAGTTCTTGAAATTATTACTCTATTATTTGATCTTTAAAGTCTAGCCTAGTAACTTACCTCCGTCAGCCTTGTTTCTGGTTCTGTCCCACTTTGCTGTTTCTGCAATCTTTCAACTAGTTTTCTGCTCTCACCGTCGACATTTCAGCATTAACAAGAACTTCTACCTATTTATCTATAGCACAGAAGTGTGTCCCAGAGTGATCACTGGGACATAATCAGACAACTCGATGCTGAGATGCTGAGACAAACAAAAAACAGATAGCAAGTAGAGTAAAGCTTGATCAAAGAGATGATTTCCAACCAAATTTATGGAGGTGGAGAGGATTGGGAAGGGAATTCCACAGCCAGCATGGGGACCAGATAACTGAAGACTTGGCTGGAAGAAATGGTAAGGGCAGAAGATGGATGCACAGAAAACCAGAATCAGAGGAATTGACTTTAATGTCAGTGTGGAGAAAGGAATTGTGTGTGTTTTAAGGCTGGAGGAGTTTAGATGGATAGAAATAAGCAAGGCCACAAAGGCGTTTAAATAAGACAAAATTGGTTTAATTCTGGGACATCTCCTTCATTGTTGTGATTTCAGTTATCCATTTGAAACTGCATCCTCATCACCCTTGTGCAACATTTACAATTGTTAGTCCTGGTG